AGCACGCGGGGTGGGAGCGGGCCGGGCCGGACCCCCTCCCGGCGCGGGGCGGCCTGAGCCCGGCCCGGCCCGGCAGTGCAGGGTGCCCAGTGCCCCCTGCGCCTCTGCCCTGATCCCGCAGGACCTGGTGCAGGTGGCGGCCCCTCTCTGCCCCGGGCCGGATGCCCGCGCTCCGCTTCCCCTCTTTTTGCCCCAATCAAAATGCTAGAGCAGGTCCTCTGTGGCAAAGACCCCGCAAGCCTCAGGGTTGAACCTCTGCACGCCTCCTTGCCACCGGCCGGGTTTCTCGGTGGCGCCCCGGGCCGAGCTGATGTTGCAGGGCTCCCTGGCAAGGTCTGGGCCCCCTGGCTGTGCCAGCCGGGTGGGAATCGCTGCCTTGGCAGGCTTCCTTCTAGCAGGCCGGAAACGCCTGCTGGGTGTTGCTGTGCTTTCTGAGATAGTCCAGTGAGATGGTGGGAGCCTTGCGATTGCTTTTAATGCAGGCGTCATCTTTTTTCCTTTCCTCTGAAAGTGACGCTTGATCTAGAAGATGGAGAAGACAGATTTCAACACAGTGCTAATTCCCTGTACAAACCAGCATCTCCTCAAGAAGAGGAGCCTTTGCTGGAAGAGCTGCTGGGGAACAGATACAGTAGGCCAAAGCCTAGTGATCGCTTCAACATTGCCTACATTATTTTCTTCATCCTGGGCACTGGCTCTCTGCTGCCTTGGAACTTTTTCATCACGGCAAAACAGTACTGGATGTACAAACTGCAGAACTGCTCGGCTCAGGCCGCAGAGGGGCAGGGAATCTCTGATCTCCGTGTGAGTATGACGGCTTCTTGCTAACACTGGTCTCAGTCATTGAGTTGAACACGACTGGGATCACTTGATTGTGTTTTAATTGTAGTGAAGACAACAGGAGTACTAGACATGGGCTGAGGAACCTGGCTTCTGCTTTCAGGTTATTTAATCAGCAGTCCTATTCTCTAGAATGGGTTTAAGACTCGCCCAGAACTTGGGAGGAGCAATAGCTGCTCCTCAGAACTAGCTGTTTTCATTATAAAGCTGATGTCTTCCCTTCCTTGCAGTAGAAAAGTGAATGTCCCTGGAATTTTGCAAATTGCATCTTTTGAGGCTGTTCATTGGGGAAGAAAGAAAAGCTTTCAAGTTGTGGTCTAAAAATGTCCTGACCATCCTTTATGAAAAGTTTTCTTATTTTTACAGAAAATTTATATTTCAAGATATCCTTCTCTAATAAGGCCTGGTAATATAATCTCTGTGCACAGCGACAGGTTCATAGTATAGATTCAGTTCCTGGTATGGTTTTACTGGTGTTAGTGAAACAGAGGCTGTATGCCATAGGAAAGTGGTTCTCAACCTTTCAGCCCTGTAGGTGAGGTGGGTGGCATGGAGTCTGTTTGAACTGGATCAGGTCATCTGTAGGCCAAATAAGGACATGGGGCTCAGCACCACCTCCTGTGCTCCAGGATTATGTCCCAGGGTCTGACACCAACCCCTTCCACGCCCCCACATGCTAGGATTTGGCCCTGAGGGCTGGTGTCGCCCCTGTCCGGTTCTGCATGCTGGGATTGGATGCTGGATCCAGTGTGCAGGGCTGGGATCTCCCCCTTAGTTCAGTAACTTGACATTGCGGATGTAGTTCCACTGCTCTCCTGCTGCTAAATTTCCAGTCCCATTCGGAGCCCCACAGATCCAAAGAAATGGCCCTGCAGTTTGGATCTGGCCACTCTGCTGGAGGTTGAGCACCACTGCCATAGAATAACTATCCTCCTATAACTATTTTCAGACCTTCCAATTTTTTAAGGTGCAGAATTATTGCAAAACAGCTGTCATGTAATTTTCATTATTGCCTTGATTCCAGTAAAATACACTTTAAGCCTTAACTCTCTCCTTTTTTTTTTCCCCAAACTATGTCCTTTAATCATAAATATCTTATAACTAAACAGAGTTGACTAGGTGCTTCACTGGGCATCCAAAAGCTCATATCACAAATTCCAATAGCTGGTGACATTTGTTGGAACGGGAGTTAGACACTTTATTGCTCCATTTCCCCCTCAAAGTGAACTTTCATTCCTCTGTAATTTCATTATGTGATGCCTTCCAAAGGACAGTTCAGTCCATAATCAAATCCAGCTCTAAGGATACAATATTCAGGTACCATTATTTGTTTCGGTGTCTGGACCCTCGTCAATAGTTGCTGCTTCTGAGCCTAGTTTCCTTGTGGAGATGTGTGGCATGTGCATGTGCATAACTGACCTCTCCCTGCTTCTGTCCAAGAAACCAATTCTCACAAGTAACATCCCATTCTCAGATATAAGCTTGCTGGCCACTCTGTTAGATTAGAGCAGAGGTTGTCAGGGGGTACTTGGAAAGGGGCTACAGGGTACGCACAGGCAGGCAGGGATGGAGCGCTGCCAGCCACCACCCTATGCTGCTGCTTCCTAGCAGCAGGCCTGAAGTGGGGGCGGGGAGGGGGGTGGGGGAGTGAGGACAGTGGCTCCCCTCTGTGGGCCACACAGGCACTGGCCGGATGCAGCAGAAGGGAGATTGCATAGCCCCCACCCCCCTCTGTGTCCGGCTACCACCACCCACCTCGCTCTGCATCCGGCCACCGCTGCTACCCCATGTCCATCTGTCCCATCGTCCCCACCTCCCGCACTTTGCCAGAAGTGTATCCAGAAGGGGTACACTCCTTAAAATAATGGTTGAAAACCCTTGGATAAAGAGGACGCATGGAAAGATGATTTGTGGTGCCAGAGAACCATAGCAAAAATAATGCTGAGCTTGGGAAAAGAGACATAGTGGAATTAAGGAGCAAAGTTCTTGCTCCTCCTGAATTGCAGAATTGCATATTCTGGTGGCAACCTCATTCCTGCCACAAAATAATACCACTTCTGTTTTAATTTGGAAGCATCCCTGCAGTAGTGGCTTTAGGGGAGGGCAAACTGAGTGACTGCCTAGGGCTCCACACCTTAGGGGGCCCAAATCTTTTTGGGGGATGAAGTTTTTGAAAGGAAGTGGCTTTATTTCCATTTTAACGCTCGACTAGTTATCTAATTCCCCCAAAGAATATTAAAAAGATCCACACTACAACTGTGGTGGGTTAATATTTACCTGAGTACCTACCTCTAAGGGGCCCCAAATGACTGTCTTGCCTAGGGCCCCAACAACCCTAAGGTTACCACTGATCCCTGTAAAAGGCACTGGTTGCGTAGGAGGGGAACCAAACTCTGGTGAAGGCAGCTTCTGTTAAATGTAGCAGTGTTCATTGTTAGATATGCATATCTTGAGTATGCCAAGATTAGCCAGGCCCTCTACCTTTCTCAGCTGAACTTCATCAGATAAAATTACCAGCTGCACTGAATTGCAGTTGGGAGGTGG